CATGTTCTGAGGCAGTGGAAGTGCTCCTTCGCAACAAAGCTGTCCTCGAGCGCGTGGGGGCTGCTGATGGAAAGGAAGCCGAGTCTGGTGGAGCTTCGCTTAAGGGCCGCCAATACGCGTGGTCCAAACACGGCGGGCCAGTGAAAGCTTGGGCCTGCGTTCGCGAGGCTGCCAAGTGGCCTGCGTCATGAAATGTTAGTGTTTTGCCGTGAACATCAGTGAACACTTCTTGACACCTAGAAGTGACTATCTGGTTTTTGCAATTGGAAGATTTTGGGGTAAGCTACCGTCAATCGCTTACCATTATTTTGCAAAACAAACCTGCTGGGGCCCAACTTCCAGCTGCATTGCCAATTGACCTTAAGACCCGTGGTCTGTGGCAGCTTAACTCTTTCGACCAAAACAGTCGTGTGATATCATCCAGCGTTCAAGGCAATACATCCAAGGTTCACAGATGGTTTCCAGCGCCCACAGATCCAGCCAGCGTTCCAATCGGACCTGTTCAATCCTTAGATCGTTCCACCCTGCCCGTGCAGGGTCCTCTTCACCGCTGCTGTCAGCTTCATCGTGGAGGTGGAGGCCTATCGATTCGGGCAAACTAGAAATTGAAAGGCAGCCTCAAGACCTGTTTTTGGATCCACCTACCTACCTGCCAAATTTCCTGTTTCTCTGGCATTCCAAACGGACCCCACCAAGTCTTGAAAAAGGATGTGAAAACTCAGGGTTTGGCATCCTTTTTCGAGACTTGGTGGGGTCCGTTTGAAATCCCAGAGAAACAGGAAAGCCGCTCCTGTTTTGAAATTCTTTGCGCGTTCCAACAAAGGTTGAAAGGAGACAAAGGGGGCGCATAAGAAAGCTTACGCGCGCCCTTGGTGGCCTCTCAACTTGTCGGGGTTTTTACACACCTTCGACCATGTTGCCTTGCCCAGGCCGATCTCTCCAACTGCGAACCGACAGGACCCAGAATGCAGCGCGTTTTCCGGCGGCGCGCGCTTTCGGGGTTGCCGGTTTCGAGCATTACGCAGTGATGTCGCGTTGCAGTTGTGACCAAAGCTTATTCCCAAGATGGCAATGGTTGGCAAAAACATTTCACTGATTGTCACTAGTTTCAGAGAAATAGATGAAACGGCGCAGTGTTTCAATCTGAATCGAGAGACATGGACACAAGGGTTTCATCGTGGCATAGGCGCCAAAGAAACAATGTTTCTAATTAATTGGAAAGTGGTTGAAGTGATTTGGCCTGCTTGCGCAGGATTGCTTCACCTATCTTGTCCCAGCTACTTCATCGCCCAGGAGGCGCTGTGAGTTGCGCGCAAGTTTGGCAACAAGCGAGTGGCATACTGGTTTATTAAACCTCATGAGTCATTGAGTGTGAGATGTTCAATCCTTCCATCTGCCAAGACTTGCAGGAATGTCAAGAACTGCCCACCCTTCTTTTTGGCAGGTGCCGAGGTCCATTTGCAAGAAGAGGCGCGTGGGCTGGACAGCTCAGGCTTTGCTCCTCGCAGGTCTCTCTTGACTGGTTTCGACGTAGCTGGTGAGTATCCCCAGTTTGGTGAACTTGTCACGAGTCACAACATGACCGTCACGGGTTGGCCACAAGGTTCACATGCGTGCGATGACTTCAAGCTCCACAAGTCGGGACTTCCCAAACATGTTGTGGGTCGTGTGTGTCTGTGTGTGTTTCTTTTCGCTCCCCGCACGCCAAGACTAGCAGGTAATGTGTTAGGGGAAGGCAGTCATAGACAATGAGCAGTTGTAGACTTCCCATCCAGGTGCTGTTGACATTGCGCGCTCTTGTTTTCAGCTGCCCACATCTACACTTGAACGAGCCAACCGACCACTTGGAGCTTTTCAGTGGCGCGTGCAGCATCGCCAAGGGCGAGTGGCATGACCGAGGGTTGAAATCATGTTGGATGAGTTTGAGGGAAGAAGCTATATATATATATAAATTGATACTGGTGTCCTCTGACCCTGCAATATCACCCCGTCTGTTTGTCTTGGACTCCTGCAGGAAAGCCGCAAGCTTTGGCGATGGACATCAACTTCCATCCTGTCGAGCAATCTATCATGACAGACATCGGCTTCGCCAACAATATTGTTTCAAGTGCTGAAGGTGAAGCCAGTGGGATTTGGGCTGCCCCTGTTTGCAGCACTTGGGTCTTCATGTGCCCCAGCAACAAACCAATAGCTTCAACTTCTGGTTTTGCCTTTGTTAAACCAACGAAGAACCCTGAAGCCTAGAAGATCGAACCGTTCCAATCCCTGGAAGTTGTTGACCCCCTCAATGAAATCAGAAATGCAAGAGAACAACGAATAAATTCCTCTTTCTTTTCGTGGATTTCCTCTGAGGTCCAGGGGCAGCACCAAGAGGAGCAAGCTGAACCCTATGGGAAGCGGCAAGGGGAAGACCGGGGAGCACAACATCATGGTTGGGAGGGTGGCCATGTTGCTAGCTTTGGCAGCAGCAAAATGCTGCGGGTGGAACATGGAACATCCCAAAAACAGCCTTCTAGAAGGCCATGTGCTTTTCCAATCTTTCTTGAGATTGAAGCACATTGCGGTGACACGTGTGACCTGGTGCCTGGGCCATTTTGGAGCTGACACCCTGAAGCCTGTATGGATCTATTCCAAACTCGTGATGGGTTTCAGAAAACTATTTTTGTTTACTCTCAAATCCTTTTTCTATCCTGCGACTAAGAGTCACGGGGGTACCGTACCGTTCAAAGAAGAGCTTTGGAGCGGTATGTATTAGCTTTGTCGAGCTACATGTCAAGCATGGCTTAGTGTGGCATAGCAGCTTCAAGAGGTTGTCTATGTTTGTGGCAAGCACTATACTGTTTTTTTAAAATATAGTGACGCTGATGCAGTTTGGGATCGCTAAGCCCAAGCGTGAGAGCGCATGAGCGCTCGTGGGGTTTCTGCAGGGGTTCATGCAGCCCAGACGCAACAATGTTGCAGCGGCTTGGCGCCGGAAAAGAGCCATGCAGAGCACATGGCACAGCAGAAACGCGAATCCGTGCATTTCTCAAATGAATTGTGCTGTTGAATCCTAGAATGTCCACCCAGTTACTATGATATCAACTGTTGTTGGCCTTCTCAACCATAAAGCCATACATTTGGCGGCTTCCGATTTGAGAGACACTGGTATTGTTTCCATGTCTATAAGTGGACGCTGCCCTTCGCACACCATAAGTGGCTGCGCGCAATTGAATTTGAATGCAATCACCCACCTTGCACGGTCTTCATAGTGGTCCCCATGCAGATAGAAAAGTAGATCTCCACTGTAGGCATCTATTGGAAACATGTTCTATCTATTCGGGGAAGTGACTTATCTAAAACAACTTTCTGCAACCGTCGTGGTGTCGAGACCGTGTTCATGTATGACTACTGCAAAGCATAAATATGCACGCCATGAACCGTGTGAAGTGCAACTATTAACGCAAATGGGTATACGGTCTACGTGCTTGTCAGCCTTTTATTTCAGAGGGCTCGGTCTGTTGTGGCAAAAACGAAAAGACCGCAATTGTATACGCGCACGCAGACCCTGTCGCGCCAAATGGTGCGAGCGGCGGTCTGGGTGCATGGATGTCGCGCGCTGTCCAGGAATGCCATTTACCATGGTGATTTCGTGTGTCGCCCAGCACTGTCGTTTGCGTGTACGATGTCGCTGATTCTGTTTGCGGTGTCGGCTGCAGTTCAACTGAGGCCGTGCGTGGTTATGCAAACAATGTAAATGAGCTGCTGGTTGTCATGCAAAACATGTCATCTCTCGTATGACCAATGCTTTCCAAGCGACCGTCTGTAAGTCTCTGTCTACCTTTAACCATTTGACAATCTTTAAAAAGAGTGCACCAAACATATTTGTCGCCTGTTCTGGGACCATGTCGCCTGGAGCGGCGATGTTGCGTGCGCTGCCCACTCTTCTTCTCAAGCTTCTGAGCACGAGCAGCAGCAGCTAAGCAAAAAGGCAGCGCCGGCACCGACAGCAGCAACAGCGGCGGCGGCAGCAGCGGTAGCAGCAGCGGCTGCAGCACAGCAAAGCAGTAAGCAGCAGCAACAGCGGCAACAGCGGAAGCTGCAGGTGCAGGTTGGAAGCAGCAAGCCAGCAAGGCCAAAGCAAAAGGAAGACGGTGGAGAAGCACCAGCAGCAATAGCAGAATGGGGCGGCCGAATCATTCGAGGTTCCAGCAAAGGCGTCTACATACTGAGGGGGCAGCCCCCCAAGGGTTGAAATAGTATGTTTGTGGGTTGGAAAAAAAGGTTCAAGGGTGAAAAAAGAATGTTTCCAGGGTGAAAAAAGGTTGGAATATAAGGACCATGGGTTGATTTAGTAGGGGTTACATTTTTTCCAACCCAGGGTTGTAAAAGCATCTTGGAGGGTGGAAAAAGAGTTGGGGTTTACAAAAAATGTTGGAGCGTTGGATAAGTATCCAGCCCCTCACTCACGCTCACTTGCACTCACACTCACACTCACCCTCACTCTCACCCACCTCACTCTCACTCACACTCGCACTCACTCTCCCACACTCACTCACACTCACACTCCCTCTCACCCACACTCACTCACACCCACCTTCACTTCATCACCACCATCACCTCTCTGGACCCCAATGTGTCTAGATCTCAGATCTCTAGACTTTCTGCTTACAGACCTCACACACACTGTTTGGGGTCTCTTGCCGGGATGATGGTGTCCCGGTCATATGATGCTGGTGTCTCGGTCATGTCATGATGGTGTCCTGGTCATGTTGTGATGGTGTACGGGTCATGTTTTGATGGTGCCCCGGTCATGTTGTGATGGTGTCCCGGTTATGTGATGATGGTGTCCAAGGAAGAGATGGTCGATGTGTTGAAAGCAGCAGCTGTTTCCGGATTGTGCTTTTTGTCCCTGTTTGTATCTTGCTATTGGGGTATCCAGCTGGGCTATTTTTTTTAACTTTTGAAAACAGGCTCTCTCCATGAATGAATTTTATAACCCTAAGCATTGAGGGCTGGGCGCTTCAACAAACTCATTGATCATGCTCCCTTCAATTCCACACGGCACGCCAACAACTGCTGTCTTCACCTGCAATAGTATAACAATTGGTAGCTGTCAGTGCAAAAACAGGCATGCGACGACGAGGGTAAATCGGCGCAAGGTATACATGATACATCATTATGCTTCTACCACCTTCATTGAAACTTGTCAATCTTTCCTACAGTACATTGAACATCCCTGCTGGTGTAAGTCAACAGGATTAGCGCAGTTGGAACACAGTAGCAGTGGTTCCTGCTGAGCTTGGTCTTCCAGCGAAAAGATTGGCATTGACATCAGATTCAAGGCTTACTTGAGAAATAGAATGCTGAACACTGCAGTACATGCCTGTTGTGAAGCATACCTTTTTCACCTCCCAGACTCTAACCCCAGCTTCAATTGTTTGAAAGCGCTGAACTTGCCTTGCTTTGCTTGAAGTGTTCTGCCAAGTAAGCTGCATCTGTATTTGTCCCTTAAACAAGAACAAACCATGTCAAGCATCCTGTCAGACGTGTTCTTGTTTTGGCTGATGTCTGCTTGACAGGCCCAGAGATGCTCTCAGGTCTGTGCTGGCACCACCAACAAGCACCAAACCATCTAAGTCAAGCTCCTGATTTGGTGTTTCTGCTGCTTGGCTTGTCATTGTTTTCGCGCTCTATCCTTTGTCCGGCTAGAGGAAAATTGAGCAAATCTAGCACTGTGAAAGCAAATCTAGCAACAAGTCACATTGGTCCTGGCAAGTAATTTTTGCTTTTTCAGACTCCTCCTGCAAACAACCAGGCACGAATTGCAAATTTTGTAGAAAGGATGCCAGTCACAACAAGATTTGTCAATCTTTGGAGTCCTTGGTGTTGATTCTGTCAACAGTTCTTCCCAGCCTTGGTACAAAGTCTTTCCTTTTATGGCTCGGCTAACATCTCAATGAAAGGAGACTGAGATTTCTGCATGTCCAAGCCACCTGCTCAGCATACCAAAGACTCCGGACATGATGGACATGATGAAAGACAAGCATCAATTCTTTGCTGGAAGCAGTCATACGAGTCACGCTGGCTCTGCATGATAACGATATTCCCTTGAAAGTTGAAAGCATTAACTCAGTTCTTGCATGCCTTCTGCTTTTTTCTGTATTATACCCTTGTGTCTCTGCTAACTGAAAGGCTTGGCACTTCTTGCACCTGGCCTGTGCCACGAAACGCTTCGCACAGCTCAGGAGTAAGCTCAACAGCCTCTCAGCATGGCTGTCAACTTGGCTGGGAGTGGGCATTCGGCGACGCAACAGCTATGTTGCGGCGTTTCTTTCTTTCCTGAGCTACTAGCAACAAGGCGCATCACTACTAAGCCGCTACTAGTAGCAAGGACGCTACTAGTAGCTAAGTGCATTACTACTAGTAACAAGAAGCTACTAGTAACAAGTGCTGTTCCTTTTTTCAATGCGCGGGGGTGTAGGCCTAAGAGTAGGCAAGCTACTAAGTAAGCAGACTAGGTGCTACTAATTGGGCTCTCGGACGCAGCCTGAGCCCTAATGACTTGGTTCCTAGATTTTTATTCCACTGCATGCTAGTCTGGAAATGGACAAGCCAGATCCCTGTTTGGCACATGTGATGCACCCGTCCTGCTTGTCGTAAAAGCCATGGGTGCCACCAACAAAGCCAAAGATCTTGTTTCCGAAATTCGGAGGCCTCAAGCTTTGCAAGTTGGCTGTCTGGGATCGCTTTCCGCAAGTCGGTGAATCGATCTCTCAGTGCCAAGAGGCATCATGTCCACCAATCCACAAATGAAGTCATGACAGCCTGGAGCCTGCCAAGTTGGCGCGTTGCACAAGACTTGCTGTCAAACACAGCTGATCCAGCTGATCTTGTCCAATGTCAATTGATAGTCGTATGCAGTTTCAAAGAAACGATCCACCCTACGGATTCATCCCGGCAGTCAGATTGCAACGCACACACACACACACACATTGACACATCCCGACACAAGCTCAACACAAAAACGCATACTGGTAGGTTTTCCCTGAGGCCTGGCGACCACAGAAAACCACACCAATCTTCTTGTCACAAATTGGCTCATTGCGTTCCTGAAGACAATTTATCAACACAACATGCAACTGCAACATGTCAACTAAAGATGCAAACGTGTCAACATGTCTCCTCGGTGGGCATGATGTCCAAGAGAGGAGCATGCACCTCTGAGAAGTGCCTGGAAACTACCTGGAGCATTCCATCCGGCCATGAGAATTTTGAAAGAAGAGAGGCAAACAAATTAAAGAAAAACCAACGAAAACACGACCCGATTGAAGGGTTACCTTCCTTTTCTTTTCCTCTCCTTTTTTCCAACAAACTGACGTGTTCGGCCACAAGAATGACTTGGATGTCTCGTGTACCGTGCAATCGTTTAAATCACTCTCAGGAGCCGATGAGTTGAGGTGCGTCTGCTTGGCATTGTTCCCGCAAACGGTGAAAGGAAATATCGTTCCCAACGAAAGTACACGCGTGGGACTTTTCCTTCAATCTGTCGAGTATATTCCTAGCTTCAACGAGTTTCCATTACGGAGATACTCAAGATCCGTCGGCTGCAAGCAGCGTTTTTCTTCCATTTGCTTTGAAGCAAACATGTCACATGTCCACCTTGGAGACGGCTTCTCAAACATCCCTTGTTCAGTGAGTGCTACAGTCGGTCAGGATCTGGCCTCTGTATGATCAGTGACGCATGTCTCCTCTCCCTTTACCACCTCAAGTTGATCCCGCTCTGAATCATCTTGGCTAAGGAATGAGCTTCAAGGATCTTCAAGGTTTGTGATCTGATCCAGACACGTTCTGAAAAGAATACATTCAGTTGGTCCAATGATTGCACAAAGTCAGCAGTTTCTTTATACTTCTTTCACTTCCTCGAGCTGCTCAGTCTTCCGCAGTTACTGCGTTGCCATTAAAGGCATTGATCGCAGCTGGCAGGCGATGCCTTCGGCCCTGACGAAAAACCGCAATGCCGTGTTTCTCTCACTCGTTGGTACAATAAGCTACCACGCTGTCATATCATGCTGTTATATGCTGTCTATGCCATTCTTAGACAACCAATCAGGTCTAAACGATGGCGAACCGCACCAGTCTCCACTGCTGCAGCTCGGATCGCATCTTCTTCCTTGCGGACAAGTACAGCAATGCTCAGTCAGACCGTATGGAAGGTGACGGAATCTCAGTCAAGGCAAGCAACGCTTGTGGCTGGAAGAGGAAGTTTCCCATCCTGAGACCAAAAGTTTCACAGGTCAAATGAGAAACATTTTTCGAAACAACAGGACCAGAAGTATAGTTTCTCAAATGGTGCACCTCTTCGGTTTTTCAGACGGAATTTCCAGTTGCCAAGTCCTGTCAGCTGTGCTGGATGCGAACTTTCGACCAAGAAGACTTGAATGGCGGACTTCGAAGCGGACAGCCGGACAGCAAGTTCGATCCAACTCGCCAGTCTATTTGCAATCAATCGTTGGCATTCTCCTTCCTAGCTCCAGCTGCAGGGTCATGGGGATGTCCTGTCACAGTAACAAACAAACTTGAACAAACGCAGAGGTTCTATTGCTGCTGAATGTTATTTCTTGAACGCAAGCTAAAGAGTTGCTAGGGAGAGACACCAAACAAATCAAATCCAAGAGACTGCTGGGATTGTAGCACTCATATTCTCTGAAACATCAACAAGAAATCTCACTCTTGTCTCCCAGTTAAAACGTCTCCTTGGAAGCCTCGCAGTCGACCATGTCAAATTGGGTTGGTCCAGGGTTGCGGTACCTGAGGTTTTCTCCCAGTTGGCGCATTTCATGGCTGCAACATCAATTCCTCTTGAACGATGCTCAAACCGAGGAATTCAAACACAGGGTCACATGTCGGTGATTCGAAGACTGCTCCGAATCTTCTTGTAGAACTCAAATGGCTGAGACCTTTGTGAAAAGGCCATGGCAGCCATGGTTCTGCTGTATTGCGTCAGTGATGTCTGGACTGGATCTTGCAAACATATTGAGAAGATTGCAAGCTGCCAGTGAGCTCCACCAGGGCTTTTCGGATCACTGGTTTGTCCTGCGAAGCAGCCAATTCCTTTCCTCACCGATTCGACCACTTTCTTGTCATGACAAACAAACCCAGCTCCCACCGGTCCCGATGCCTTGCCCTTGCGCCGTTCGATGACACACAAGGAAGTCACTGGAACGCCGCCACACTGCCAATCCTGTCGGGCTGGACTTGAACATGTCCGCTAGGCCAAAACAATCAACACGTCTCTTCCGAGCAGGTTTATATTATATATGGATCTTGATATGGGCAGTTATTTATAGTTATTTGATGCACCTCACATTCATGGTTCCTGGCCTATGCATTGGACTGCATTCCCCACACAAAAGGCAAAGTTCAGAGCTTTTGGCGGCTTTATTGTATCATTGTGTGTTTGAGGCCCTTACTAGCAGCGAAGTCGGAAACACCGGGAGTCTGACCCCCTTGATGTCCTTTTCGCTACAAAGCAAGTACGTTAATTGGGCACCAGCATGCCGTTATTACAACTTGTGGGTACAAGACAGCTACCTTCACAGCACTGCGATGGTCCTTGCAAGGGGCCAGCAAGTTCTTGACGCTAGCAATCAGGCCAGTACAGCCATTGACCTTAAGTGCAAATGCATCAGACATGCCACGAAGGCAGCACCCATGCAAATCGTTCACAGGCAGGTAAGGCAAGCACCAGTAATGAGGATGCTGTGTATCCCAATGCCTGCCACAAATCGAACAACTCCGCTAAGGCGGTGACTAAGGCCCTTGGCCCTTGGCTCTGCAAATACTAATACAATTACAATCTTGCGCTGAGTGCACGTAGCAATATGCTGAATCGAAGACCGTGGGCCTTAGACTCATCAGCTCATCCCAAAAGTTCAACCACCATCCCATCTTACACATCATTTTCTTGATTTTTCCTGCATGTGCAGCTCAGTCTGATGAAAGCCCATAAAGGGCTCCCTGCAGGCCCGCTCGACCTTCATAGCCAAAGGCGTGGAATTGAGGCGAGAAATTGCCCTTGTACCTAGGCTGCGAGAAATTCCCTGACTCCTTGAAAACCAACTCCCAAGTTACTCCCAAGTCAAGGCGATAAAACTTCTCGCAAATGCAAGTTAACTGGCTGCTGAGAGACCCATTTGCTCTGCGGTTCTGCAGCTCATTCTGAACTGTGGCAGCCAGTAGCTTCTCTGTCTCAATCTTGGCTACCTGCCAGTCAGGAAGGTACGGTATATATATATATAGAAAAAACAGTGAAAAAGAAGGTAAGGGCCTCTTCAATCAGGCCCCCTTTAAAACGGCCTTACTAAAGAGGCGCCTGCCTTCTTTATTTCATCTCTTTTTGCCCAAACCAGTCCTGCACATTTCCATGAGGGTCCCGGTCAAGGAGAAGCTGTGCGCGGATGAAGCCAGGCAAATACCTCCAACAAATCACCGGGTGTCAGAGATCTGCTGACTCTAGACGTCTAACCAATTCAGAATGTGGGCGGCTACTGGCCTGAAGCACTCTGCGTTGTCTTTGGATAGGACACTAAGAATGGCCTGGTGAATTGAACAAGGCATTGCAATGGTTGCCGTTGACAAGTTGTGACCCGGTGTGACTGTTAACAGCCTTCACGAAACTGTGATATCTGATATCCGTCTACTACCTGCTCCGCATTCCCGTTGAATCTTGGACTTGGTCTTGGTTTCTCCCCACACTTTATCCCGGTGCATCTCGCCCTGGCTGCATCTTTCGCCCACAGGTCTTGAATAACCGCATGGCCTAGTTCAGTCTTGATGCCAAGCATCTTCAGACCTTTGAGATAAGCATGCAAAATTTAAGGTAGCGAACATTCGTGAGAAACACAACTTGAGAAGGGAGGGGACGAAAGCCAGCCCCTGTAGAGATTAAACATTTTTAAGGTTATGTAAGCGCAAAAATGTGCAAAGTTTCACATTGACGCTTGACATGATAGAGCCATTCTACACAAGGGCTGTACAAAATTGAACGCCTTTACTAACATTCGTTTACTGTTCTTAGGATAGATTTGGATTCCAGGTGCTTGTACAAACGTTCAGATCTGTGGTGCCCTTCTTCGTTTGGTTTAGGACCCTTTTCAGGTAAAAAAGGGGCGCCCTTAACGATAAACGCTTGTGAGTTTTTGCTCACTTTGCATGAGCATGATTTTGAACGTGTGGGCATCTAATCTATAGCTTCGGAGTAGGGAAGTAAAGTAAGCACAGTAATGGACTGTGGCACACTGACGACTGATATACAGTTCTAGGGGGGGCCCTTTTGCTTCTGGCTAAGCTTGTCACATTAAAAAAATGGCGCCCCCAATGACAAGTCCTCTTTCGATTGTTTTTGTTGGGGCATGCGGGTGAATTTGATTTGGCATCCGCGAAGGCACGCGTGTTCCTTGTTGGCGACAAAGGCTCCAACAAGCGATCTCAGATCTAACAGTCCTCTGTCCTCTACCTAGACTCACGCACCTGGTCAGCTCACATCAGTAAACCACTTTCATAGTGTCGTGAGCACTTTATGATGCAATGATGCACTACACAGCGCCATTTGCATCACTCGCATCACCAAGACTCTCAAAAACATTGGACCGCCTCTTTTTTCGTTTCTCCCCCACCAAGCTCTGGGTTCACTCTACCCACTATCCACACCCCCTATTACTCACTTCCTTTGCCCATCGAGGACGCTTTCGTAACATACAATGCTGTTTCTACAAACCCACTTGTGCCTCCTCTGTGGGTTGAATCTCAGGCTGTGCCAGCTTGTCGTTGATTTCTGAAATCAGTGAGTTAAACTCAGGAATAAACCTGGGCTCACTGAGCATCATTCCTCCAATCTGTCCGGATTGCAACAGCGACTGTAGCAGTGACTTGCTAGGCCAAGTCCTCTACTCAATAAGGCCTTCTGGAAGCAGGATCACTCCATAGTCCTGAAGGTACAAATGAAACCAAACTTTTCTCTTCACCGACAGTGGGAGGCATCCAACAAGCAGCTCCTTGCCATCCTTGCTGCGTGCTTCAATCATGTCCTGAGCAATGAAGGGCTTGTATTATAACTAACTTGAACCAACCACAGCCCAGACATGACGCAAAGCCAAGCAGCAGCCAGTTCCATGGTGATGTCTTTAAGGCTTTGCTTGCCTTCTGCCACCTTGCCCAAGGTTCCGAAGGAAGCAGTGCCCAAGTGCGAATGGATACCCATATATTTGAGAGCGGTGCCTCCTCACCCAACAAGCATGCATTTGGATTTGTAAGCAGAGCCTTGGAACAGGTGGCGTTATGAAGCAACCCTAAGTAACTAGTAGCTTCTTTCTACTACTAGTAATGCACTTGTTACTAGTAGCGATGCACTTGTTACTAGTAGCTTCTTGTTCCTAATAAGGATAATACCTAACCTAGATGTCATTTACACATCTGACTGTCGAACGCTGTCACTGGTTAGGACTGCTACTACTTCCAAAGCGATGTTGGAAGCAGACCGGCCCATCAAGCGGACCAAGTGGTAGTACCTCATCCATGTCTACTCCCTCCCCGCAAAGAATGACTGCATGTCTCAAAGGAAATGTGTATATATATATATAAGTATATAAAGCAAAACAAAACGAGTGACTAGGACGATTGCATTTCACTGTCAGTTGTAACTTCATGCAACTACTATGTTCCCATCTGTAAGGAACTGACTAATAAAGAAGGTGTTCGATACATATGTATATGTAATGAGTGAAGGCAAGAACCATACAACATCTTCAATGGAGTTTGACTCTCCCCATTCTTATCCACGCAACAGCATCCTACTGCTCAAGTCTTTCCAGCGCCAGTGTGACCCAACTACGTCTTTCAATCGGGACACTTCTGTGCACTCAATGCATCGACTGCCACGTTGCCTGCAAGCTTCATCCGACTGATGTGAACACTGGCATCCATGGCATTGATTATATCTTGCCTACCAATGTGGCATAGGTCTTGCATGCCGTATCAAAACCGAAGGACACCGGGATGTGGGGTGGACACCTGGCAACCAGGGCAAGGTTGTTTAGCGTGCTTCGACTGGACCTTTGACTCAAAACAAGTAATTACCGATCACACCAGCTTTCAAGGATGCAAGGGCCACTTCAAGTCTCCGTCAATAGTCTTTGGGGCACCAATCACCTTGGTCTTGCAGCCATTGGCCTTCAGGTGATTGCTTTGAACCAGCTGAAACTATTAGCAAGCACCAGCATGCAAAAGCATGTTCTTTGGTTGATTGTGTATCAGTCCATTCTAATTGATCAACAGTTCAAATTTAGAACAACGAAAGGTCAACATCAACATCATTTTGGCCTTGAAGTACTCGGCCAAGACTGCTCCATTGGTGTTGGAGTCCTCAGTGAAAATGAGAATGGGTGGTCGGAAAATGTGAAAACGACATCGAACATGAAAGCACGGCAATGGCAAACAGAGCTTTGTGTTTTCGCTGCTCTAAGGGATCCAAGCCCCAAGGCCTGTGATTCAGGCTGCAGGCAATCAGAGTTTAAGAATGAGAGGATGAGAATTCATGAAGTTGTTGGGTCCCCAACAGTCTAGAAACAAAATCAAATAATGCGAGGGTTCTTCAAGGAAACTCCCAAGCTTCCAAGGTCTACTAAATCTTAAACTACTAGCTGTGGCCACATCTTATTTCCTACCTATTCGCTGCCTAATTGCACTCAAGATAAATGGCTGCTCAGTCAAGCGACATCTCCTCCAATGACCACCAAGCCATCAAGACCGATCGCATCGCACACCTTGAGAAATTACAGCTATGCTGCGGCCCATTGTGTGACTCCAAAAATTCAAGAGTATGGATGGGGTGCATGGGCTGCATGAAATTGCAGCAATTCAGTTCAGACTATATAATTCAGACGAGGCTTTGTGTCTTTGAAGTAGTAGTACTCTGCAAGACCATCCGTGTGGTGTAGGACATCAAGTGCTCTGTTCGACTTGTTGTTCATATGCATATATTAGGGAATAGCTATAGACATCTTTACCTGCTTGGCTGTACATTCAACAATTAAATACTCAATGCCCTGAGAGCGTATGTTATGCAGCTAGCCTGTACATGGAAACGCAATCTTTTGATTCTCGACGACAACCTTATCTATATAATATACAATTTATAGCCTTTGCCTTGCCTTGTGTTGGTTGATCAATAAAGCCTTGCAAGGGCAATGGGCGCATGATCCAAAGGAGGAGGTCAGTTAGACTTCCTCCGCCTCACTCCTCCACACAAGTTTAGCAAACCATCTCAAAACACGAGCCTCCACTGCATCATCCATGAATACTGTTGTATTATACATGGTACATTCTTCTATTTTTCATTTTTTGCATACATTTGTTAAAGCTCCTCTCTGTTTCTCTGTCTCTCTCTATATATATATGTGTGTTTACTTGTTCACGAAGCTACCAACAGCTTGCTGGTGGTACAAGACAAACAAGCGTTGGAGCCGGCGACTGATGGCACGGCAAAAACAAGCTATCTCTATGTATGTATACATTTTCTAATTTCATATAGTTTCTTAAGTAAATAACATAAAGAATAGACAACCAATAATTTCTTAATGACTAATTTGTAAATATGATGACTTACATATACTTAAACTATATCAACTTTAGCTAAAATCCAAGCAAGTTCAAACATGTGTTGAAATCATTTGCTGTCACACTTGAGAGGAGGGAGACACGAAAGGTAGGACAGCGGGAAGAGAAGAGAACGCGAGAGGCAGGAACAAAAATGCAATGTTCGACATGGTGATTTATCCCCTCGGAGGCGACCTTTCGTAAATATATGTTCATATGCACTCTAAATGTTCAAACATATGCTCTCGAAATGTTCAAAAAGATTCTTAGGAAAACAAACTTGAGAGGAGGGAGACACGAAAGGTAGGACAGCGGGAAGAGA